GTTTTGCGAGAAGTAACTCTTGCCACCCAAAATCCGACTGAAGGCAAACTGGCAGCCAAATGGGCGGGACCTTACGTTGTGAAAGCCAGACCACGACGGGGTACTTACCGACTTTAGGACATGGAAGGTCGAGACTTCCCCTACCCTTGGAACGCTGAACATATGAAGCGCTATTTTCAATAAAAGTTGTATTTTTGTATCGTGCAAAATGTTGTATTTTCTTTTGGACAACCTATGTTCTTATTTTCTCCTCATATAGTATAAATTTGTGACCCCACGGGCTATACTTTATATAACAGCAAGCTTATATCTTAACTATCTGTGGTATTCCAATAATGCTTTGATTGCAGCCTCAGCCAGATTGAGCATGAAGAGCTCGGCCAGACCGAGTCACAAAAAGCCTCAGCCAGACTGAGCATGAAGAGCTCGGCCAGACCGAGTCACAAAAAGCTTCAGCCAGACTGAGCACAAAAAGCTTCAGCCAGACTAAGCATGAAGAGCTCGGCCAGACCGAGTCACAAAAAGCCTCAGCCAGACTGAGCATGAAGAGCTCGGCCAGACCGAATCACAAAAAGCCTCAGCCAGACTGAGCACAAAAAGCCTCTGCTAGACTGAGTATGAAGAGCTCGGCCAGACTAAGTCACTTAAAGCTCTAGCTAGGCCGAAGCCGCCATTGCGACTTCAGGATCATAAGCACAGTGACCATATTTTCTCACTTTCACTCTGCATTGAATTTTTCTTACAAGTTAAAATTCACTCTGCATTGAGTTTTCTGACTTTCACTCTGCATTGAATTTTTCTTACAAGTTAAAATTCACTCTGCATTGAGTTTTCTCACTCTCACTCTGCGTTGAATTTTTCTTACAAGTTAAAATTCACTCTGCATCGAGTTTTTCTCACTTTCAGTCTGCGTTGATTTTTTTCTTACAAGTTAAAATTCACTTTACATTGAGTTTTCCTTACATTTTACACTTCACAATAATTTATACATTTCAGATGCACAAGCAAAAATAATGGACTGAAAAAATAACTCAAATTTTATTTATTCACAAACTTGTACATAAGTTCATTACAGTATTTCAAAAAAAAAAAACAAAAAAGAAAAAACAAAAACAAACACGCAAAAAACAACTCTAAGTACAAGGTCTTCTTCTTCTTCTTCTTCTTCTTTTTCAATTATTCCTCCTCACTGGAAACGAGGTCTTCTTCTTCAATCCCCTCATCCAGGGGGGTCTGGGCCACATCGTCTTCGTCAATTTTTACACTACTGAGGTCTAAGCCTGGGAACAGTTCTTTAGCTTTACGCTTGAACATCTTTTAGCCACTATCCCAGAACTCGGCCATTTCATGTTTATAGAAGTCTGACCGCTGGAAGCTCTCAATCACTTCTGCCTCGGTCCTGCCCCCAATGGTCGTTCCAGACGGGCCCACCCCTCCAGACACCTCCCTCGCCACGCTGCTGGCGACCGCAGCATCGATCGCCATCTGAAATTCAGCTGACCCCTTGAATTGTTCTATTGCTGCGACATACAGATCGGGGTATGCTGCCCTTTCAGAGGCTGCCTTGGTCCTCTCTTCCTCTAACTCCTTCTGCAGGCTCGCCTTTTCAGAGGCCGTCTTGGCCTTCTCTTCCTCCAACTCCTTCTACAGGCTCGCCCTCTCCTCCATTGCCTTAGAACGCTCGTCTTCTAGCCCCTTCTGCAGCCCAGTAATCTTCACCTCTGCTTCTTCATTTTCTTTGATTTGCTGGGCGCGTAGTTCTTCATTGCTAGTCATAGCCTCTTCATGCCGCTCAATGGCGACCGCGCAGGCCCTTTGAGCATCCCCCAGCTTCTTCTGCTCGCCAGCCAGCTGGAACTCGAGCGACACAACCTGATGGCGTTCGTCTTCTAGTTCCAACTTGACCGCGATCAGCTCAGCTTGGGCTCGGTCGGCAACATTGCAGTGAACAATAGCCAACACTTGTATCTTTTTAGCTTTTTCTGCTTCCTGCCAACCTCTGGAGTACGCGCTTCGCGCAGCCTTCTTCCACCCTACACTCTCCTTTTTGAAGTTTGCAAGTTGAGCCTTGGCCTCATTTGACTTGACCTTTGCAGCAGCCGCCTTTCTCAGCAGAGCCCCAGCTAAGGTGGTTACTTCCATTTGGGCAGAGCATAACCCCCTTAGCAGCTCAGCCTCATTGAACCTGGCTATCGAGCGCACAGCCGCCTCGTCCACGATCCCAACAAGGCAATCTGTAGTTGCCCTGGCTGGGCCTTCTTCTCCCTCCAGTTGCTTAGACACCGCGCGAGCGTGGTAGATCGCAGTCGTAGCCTGACCCCTCCTCCTCCTTGGGACGCAGGACCCCCCTGGGGCTGTTCCTCTCCCCTTGGCTCAGGGCCAGTTGCCTCAACTTCTACTTGAATTTCTTGGGCGATCTTCGCCACTACTGGGACGACTTCCATGACCTCTGAGGCGACATCCACCACTTCTGGGGCAACCACCCTTCTTGGGATCTCCCCTAACCCCCTCCTCTCCTGCCTCCTTGGCCATGGGGGTCTCCTCCGCCGTCATCTCCTTCCTCCTCTTTAAGGCAGGCTCTTCTTCACTTCTCCTCACTCTCTTTTTCTTCTTTACCACACCCTCCACCTCCATCTCCTTGTAGGCCCTCTCCTTCAAAGGATCAACTGGGGGGCGGTCGTGGCTCAAATCCACCTAAGTCTTTTTCCTCTAGGGGTTTGGGGCGAGGTCGGATCCTCTCCCTCGTGATCGATTTTGGCGGTCGGTCTGCTTGGGACTCTTTGAACTTACTGGCTTTGGCAAGGATGGCCATATCCTCAGCCTCTTGCGCTTTCCTCCTCGCCTCTAGTTCAGCCCGTCCCAGATCTCCAACGCTCGGTTAAGGGCCTAATCCCGCTGAAAACAAGGCTGAAGGTTGAATGAGTTCATTCCACCTGACTCCCTCCTTCTCCCTCCATGCCTTCACCTTTTTTATCCTCTCCTCTGCTGCCGGCCCCAGTTTTGGCTCCACAGATTTGGTGGGCACTCTCCACACCGTACGCACCCCAAACCCTCCATTCGCGGACACGTAAAACCACTGCGGCCTCCAACCCTTAATGGATGATGGCAGCCCCGTCACCAGACCCCTCCCTGCCGCCGCCTACAACGTCACCCAAGTCTCTTGCTGTCCTGAGGCCTTATAACACGCGAAAAATTCGTCCACCGTCATAGTCGCCCCTTCGGTCGCCTTCGACCATGCGCTTGCACAGGCTAACACAATTTTCTACGCGTTGGGCATTAGTTGCCCCGGCGCTACCTCCAACCGGTTTAGGACATCAACCACCACTTGCGAAAGTGGCAGCCTCAGTCTTCCTTTCAATGCTTCCTCGTACAAGGCAAACTTCCCCGGCCGGGCGTCGGATGGCCTCTCCGTTGACGACGGCAACAGTAAATCTATGTCAGCCGGAACCTGGTATTTTTCACACATAACCTCCAAGTCCGTCGCAGTAACCGTTGATTTGTCAGCCTTCGTATGCCAGTGATCTGGTTCCGCCTGGCTGATTGGCTTTGGAGCCACTATCATGGTGGAAGAATGGGATTGTACCACCGGCTCCCCTACCCTCTCCACTTGTCTCTCCGTCCGGTACTGCTCCGCCAGCTCCACTGCGTCGTCATCCCCAAACGGATCAACCTTGGCGGTCTCAGCTTCTTCTTGAGCCATCTCTGTGGTGTGCCTACGAATAGCTTCGAAAGCGGGTGTAAGAAAATTCAAGAAATGTTGCAGAGGTGTATCGTCAGCAACAAAGGAGTTAACACTTGGAATGTTTTGATTTTTTGCAAAGAAGTAGGTAAATCGAATAATACCAAAAGCCCAAGGCTTGCCCGTATTCCAAGGGTCACAATTACTTTTCGCCAGTTTGAAAACTTTTCAAAACATCCGCCAAAATTGTCTTTTCAACACCCATCATGACCTATCGTTTCATTTTTGGCCCAACGCCTAATCTCCCTCCCCACGAGATGCTGCCACGTGTACGATCACGATTCACTGCCATCTCCCCTTACCCTGTCTTTTCCACTTCAAGTCATCACGTGACACGCCGCCTCTTGAGCCCCGTGCCCCCCCACCTCAACCTTTATGGTCGGTCCTCCACATGGTCGGCCCTCCCACTCGGCCACCCCTCCCACTCGGCCACCCTTCGCGGTCGGTTCTCCTCATGGTCGGCCCATCCACTCGGCCACCCTTCGCGGTCGGTCCTCCTCATGGTCGGCCCGTCCACTCGGCCACCCTTCGAGGTCGGTTCTCCTCATGGTCGGCCCATTTACTCAGCCACCCTTCGCGGTTGGTCCTCCTTATGGTCGGTCCTCCCACTCGGCCACCTTTCGCGGTCGGTCCTCCTCATGGTCGGTCCTTCCACTCGGCCAGCCTTCGCGGTCGGTCCTCCTCATCTTCTCCATTAGTATTCCTTTCGTTGGGCTAAAGCTGTACTTGGGAATGGGGGACTACTGACGTGGTTAGGCCCACAAAGGTTATAGCCCACTATGAACAACCCAAGCTCATCACTTAGAGCCCAACACATAACCCAACTGATGAGACCCTAAACAGGGAGAAGTCAACATGGCACGAAGAACTAATGATATTCAGACATGTGGTAGGTAAAGGACAAGCCATATCAGCAGACAGAGATCTGCAAAGTTATTGCCACTGTACATCGCCATTAATGCAGCCCATCACAGCATTTATTACGACAACACCTCTTTGTCGGAACAACACCCCCTCACCCTGAACAAGGTAAGCTACAGCATTGACTTTTGGCCAAGGTGGCAGGTCGGAAGGGACGACGAAATGATTACCAAAGGATATAAGCAGACGCTGAAGACAAGAAGAAGATTAAGTTTTCTATCTCCCATTCCTATCTTTACATTCTACTCCTCTCTCTCTAACTTGTTCGTCGGAGGGTTCGCTAGGGGACTCCCCGTTCCTCGTTGAACTCCTGTGCAGGTTCTCAGGTGGGCTTGGCTATTCAGATATCGGTTGGAGAAGCGTGGATCAGTCCGACCCATTCCCTCTGGAACCCGTTGTATTGTAACTATATCATCACAATAAATTATACAAAATTTTCCCGAGAACCAAACAAAGAAATGAAAAGAAAAAGGAAAATACCATTCCAATAAAAACAGAGACTCCATAGACTAGACAAGTAGAATTGAACCAGGGCTTCCCTCCCACAAGAATAGCATAAAGATTTGCAATGGCAAGTGGCAACTGGAAGAGAAGCTTGAGCCACATAAGCCCAACAAAGGAAGAGGGCTTTTCAATGAGCAAGTAATCATCGTACTCGCTTGTGAACCAGAGATTCTGGTCAACGAGGAAGTTTGGGAAGAACTTAGAAGGAAAGCACACTTGTGCATTGAAAGCTCGAGCTGCTAAAATCACTACCAAGAAGAACAATAACAGAACTGCATCTATTAGCTTAATCAAAACCCCCATCTCTCTCTGGTTTTCGTTTTCTGGAGCTGCTAAAATCACCACCAAGAGCGAATCTTGGTCTTGTTCAACAGAGTTCTTTTTGTTAGTAAAATAAAATAAAATGAAATAAAATATAATGTTATTGTTTAACTAAAGTTCCTATAGTTCTTTTTTTTTTTTTTTGGGTGAATCCAAAGATCCTATAGTTAGTCTGACGATTTTTTATATATATGGTTAAAATTTTTTTGATAATAAATTTTTTTATTATAATTTTTATAAATTGTTGCTAAAATATATAATTAGTGATTTTTTTTGTGACGAATTTTTAGAATTATTGTTAAAGTTGAAAATTAGTGACATTTTTTTTGTGCTAATTTTTTAAACTATCGCTAAATTTATAATTAGTGATATTTTTTGTAACAAAAAATTTAAACTGTCATTAAAAATTAACAATTAGTGATTTTTTTTTATGGTAAACTATTAATAGGTCATAATAGTTGGATTTAATTCTCATCAAGTCCTATTGAAAATAAGTCTTGGTAAAATTGGTGCCAAAAATAATTTTTTTGTGACAATTTTTTACATATGTCGCTAAAAATTGACAATTAGTGACTTTTGTGTTATGATTTTTATAAATTGTCGTTAAAACTTAAAATTAGTGATACTTTTTTATGAAAATTTTTTCCCATAGGACCTATTAGACGATAAGTTTACTTATTACAACCTACACATAAGTTCCCTTTTAAAAAAAAAAAAATAGTGTTTGATAAAAATACCATTAATTATCACAGAAACTATTAGATAATAAATCCATCTATCAAGACTTACACGTAAGTACCTCTATTACTTATTTCTATAATGAAAAATATATATTATATAAATAAGGAGAAACTCTATTATACATACCCCTAACATTGGCACCCCTAAGCTATGCTATTTTTATTTTTTTAATTATGACTAATTTTCTTCTTTAGTTATGACTCATAAGATTTTTTATTATGCCTCATGTGTTGTTTGGTTATGATTTTTTTTTTAGTTATAACTCAGAAAGTATGAAATTTTGTCATTTTTTCTTTTAATTAAAAGGTACATACGGTACACACCTTTTGAAATGTGTGTACCATAATCTTTTCCATACATAAGGGATATTTATTCATAAATCCCTATTCACCTATTTATGCTTCTCTTAATTCAAATTACTTTTTTATGTTTCAATAAATTCTATAGGTGATGTAGTTATCAAAATATCTTTAACAATAATAGGGTGAAGCGTGCTTTAATATTCATATTGATAGTGTGAATATAGTGTGAATATTTTGTGATGTGAACATTCACACTATCAAATATGAATGTTTACATCACAAAATTACTAAGAGTTCAAAAAATATTTGTGAAAATGAAATTATCTATAAAATACCTTAAATATGAAAATTAGAATTTAATAAATCAAATACCTAAATAATAAAACTTGTTGAAATATAATAATATATTATGAACTAATTAAAATAAAAGTACTTAAAAGAATATTTCTTAATAATTTATTTTATTTTATTTTATAGTATCCCAAAAATTACTTAATCCATTAACCTACATGACCCATATCAGTTCGCACAGTTTGGAAAGGTGAACAGATATGCAATTATATTTTATTATAGTATTATTTAATATTACTTTACACCACTTAATTAAAAAATGCTAAATAAAAATACTATTGGTAAATCCATCAAATTATTTGTAAATCCATCGTGATAAAAGTAAAATAAAGAGTCTTCTTAAATTTTAATAATATACTTGACTTAATAAACTGTTTTAAAACTCTTTTCTACTCTTATCAAATTGTAACAATAACAAATTAGCATATCACTAGTGGTATGTACGGGATAAAATAATATATTATTTAATAAAAATATAATAATTATATTTAATTTTTTTATATTATATAAAATAAAAGTTAAATGAAAGCAATCAATTGGAATTTTTTTAATTGTTTAAAATTAAGAAAACTAAAAAAATTAATATGAGATATTAATCATAAGACTTCTCAATAAAATCTTATTTTGCTTATATAAATGGGAGTATAAGATTCACTTTATGGAAGTGAAACAATTCGCTTTTTCCTTATTTTCTCGATGTGCGATTATAAAATAAAAGTTAAATGGGAGTTAGCCAATGAAGATTTACTTAATTGTTTAAAAGTTAGCAATTGTTTGGGTGTGAAGTTTATTTAGAATCAAGTAATCTTAACTGTTTAATATTTAATTAGGTCAATCTTTAATTTATTTCGAATCAAACAAATTTAATTAATATATTTTGATAAAACCTCTAAAATCACAATTAAAGCAGTGAATCAATCAAATCGAAAACGGTTCACCCTAACGGCTAGGTTAAATGACCAATCAACTTATACAAAAATTAATTAATTAAAATTTTTAAATTTTATTTTAATTTTAAAATTTAAACTGTCTTGAACTAAAATATACACAACACTATAATATGGAACGCAAGGTTTATACAGTGAAACAACTCATTTTTTCCTCATTTTCTTGATGTGAGATTGTAAAATAAAAGTTAATAGTTGTTTGGACGGGAAGTTCATTTCTAATCAAACAATCTCAATCGTTCAATTTTTAATAAGGCTAATCTTAATTTATTTTAAATCAAACAAATCTAAGCAATGTATTTTGATAAAACAGCTAAAACCGTGATTAAACCAGTAAATCAGTCAAACTGAAAACGATTTAGCCTAATCGGCTAAGTCAAAAGACCAACCAATTTACAACAAAATTAATTAATTAATTAAAACTTTTAAATTTTATTTTAAAGTTTAAATCATCTTAAACTGAAACATGCACAATGCTATAATATTAAATGAGAGTATAAAATTCACTTCATATAAGTGAAACAACTTATTTTTTATTTCTTTTCTTGATGTGAGATTGTAATTATTTTAAAATTAAATATTATGAGAGTTTCAAAATCTTAAATAAAATTATTTTTAAAATCAAAACGTCTATGTGGGATTGTAAAGAAAAGTTAAATGGAAGCTAACCAATAGAGATTTTCTTAATTATTTAAAATTAAGAACATAAAAAAAAAAATAGTATTGATTATAGGGCTTCTCACTAAAAATCTTCTTTTGCTTATAAAAATGGGAGCATAAGATTCACTTTATATATGTGAGACAATTCAATTTTTCCTTCTTTTTTCCAATGTGGAATTGTAAAATAAAAATTAAATAGAAACTAACCAATGAGGATTTTCTTAATTGTTTAAAATTAAGAAATCTCAATATTTATATAAATTGGAGTATAAGATTCACTTTATGTAAATGAAACAATTCACTTTTTCTTCTCTTTTTTTTCCTCCCGATTTGGGATTGTAAAATAAAAGGTAAATGAAAGCTAATCAATGAGAATTTTCTTAATTGTTTAAAATTACGAAAATTCAATAATTTTAGAATAAGGGTTTGGAGCTTCTAAAAGGCTTCTCCCTTAAAACCTCATTTATAAGATTCATTTTATATAAGTAAAACAATACATTTTTTTTCTTTTTCCGATGTGGGATTGTAATACTTTATACAAGTGAAACAACCTTTTTTTTTTCTTTCTTTTCTCAATATGGGATTGTAATTATTTTAAAGTTAAATATTATGAGAGTTTCAAAATCTCATACAAAATTATTTTTAAAATCAAAATTATGTGGGATTGTAAAATAAAAGTTAAATGGAAGCTAACCAAGGGGGATTATCTTAATTGTTTAAAAAAAAAAAATGAGTATGTGATATTGATTATAGGGCTTCTCACTAAAAATCTTCTTTTGCTTATATAAATGGAAATATAAGATTTACTTTATGTAAGTGAAACAATTTACTTTTTTCTTTCTTTTTTCAATGTGAGATTGTAAAATATAAGGTAAATGGAAGCTAACCAACGTGAATTTTCTTAATTGTTTAATATTAAGAAAATTCAATAATTTTAGAATAAGGGTTCCCTAAAAATTTCATTTTTCTTATATAATATATAGATAGATAGTGAAAAAAAACTTTGCTTTTTCTTCTTCTCCCGATGTAGGATTATAAAATAAATCATAAACTAATTAGAGTTTTATTTTTATATGGTTATATGGAAGTTAGCCAATATTTTTTTTTTAATTTTTTAAAATTACTAAAATCATTATGAGAAATTGCGATTAAACTAGCGAATCGGTCAAATCCAAAATGGTTCAGCCTAATCGGCGATACTTCAATGAATTTCGGACAAAACTCCAATAACTTCTTGGTGATGTTTAGCAATTCGACAAGTCTCTAGTGACTGTTTGACAGAAGTTCGGCGGCAGTGTGATATAGTAGTATCTTTAAATTTAAAAGAAAAAAGATTTTTTTAGTAATAATTTAAATTATGTAAAGCTAAATGTTACAAGTATTTTAAATAAATTTATATATGGAATTTGCTAGTAAGTGGCTCCCCTCTCCCTTTTTTTTTCCTTTCTCTCTCCAAGTTTAGTAACCTTGTGATTTCTCTTTCCCGTGTCACACCTCTAATCTCAAACTTACAAATTCAAATCAAACAACAAATACTTACAATCAGACCATCACCAGAAAGAAAGAAGAGAAAATTGAAAGTCATGGTTTTAGTTCATGACTCTAGACAATGGTGACAAAAATCAATCCGTCCACTAGTCCTCGATGTCTTTCGCATCCTCAAAGAGGGTGAGCTCACAAGTGTTAACTTTTGTCAAAAATCACTTAAAAAATTGAAGTTTTAAAACTCGGATCGCACCGGCTGATCCAATTAACCGATTGAATCGGTGATCGGGTGAGACTTTCATTCGGTAGACCCTCTTAAACCGTTCTAAAAAAAAAATATATATATATATATTTAAAGAGAATCGGTCAAATCGGTGATTTAACCGGTTAACCCGTTCATGGTTAATTGAACCGGACGGGTTTGCCTATGACATATATATTTATTCATTTATTTTTTTCAGATCTACTTTCCTTTTCGTTTCTGATCTTTCAGCAG